CAATGTGAGGTTTATTTTTCTAAGCTACCAGATTCGGTTTTTCTCTGCTCCTGGAGTGGAGTGTACCTGTTTTTGGGAGGAGGGGTATGTTACACATAGTGATTCTCGAGTTTCTCCTAGCTCTCCACTCAGGAATTAGGGGAACCATAAGGGTCGCCGGGGATCAAACCCTAGTTAGCTGCATGCAAGACAAGTCTTACCTGCTGTACTATTGCTTCAGCCCCCAGATGATAGAATTTCATCTTAATACACTGATAGGGAGCCAGCAGTAGTACAGCAGGTAGAACGCTTGCCTTGCACACAGCCAACCTGGGTTTGATCCCCAGCATCTCATATGGTTCTAAGCACCACCTGGAGTGATCCCTGAGCCCAGAGCCAGGAGTTAGCCCTGAGCATCACCAGTTCTGGCACAAAACAAAAAATGTCCGATTATATTGATTAAATAATCAATTATAAATAGTGTCCCAGTATTCTGTCATTTATAAACTCTACCTCCTGTCTCTACTTATAATGTCACTTTATGTCCTTCCAGTCCTGTATCTGTCCCTATTATGGAAACTACAGGAGTTCTTTAAGAATCTTATGTCAGTAAAGGCTGGAACAATAGTACAGCTGGTAGCGCACTTGCTTCGCTCATAGCTGACCCAGGTTTGATCCGCAGCACCCAATATGGTCCCCTGAGCGTGGCCAGGAGTGATCCCTCACGCAGATCCGGGAATAAGCCCTGAGCACAGCTGGGTATAGTCAGAAAACTGCAACAACAAAATTTTTAAAGTATCACAAAGCAATAAGGGACAAAAGTGAGCTGAATGGGCTGAGCACATGCCTTACATGCTGGAGTCCCAGATTCAGTCCCCCACAGAGTGCAGGGCCATAGCCCCAAACACAGAGCTAGGAGCAGACTCCCCACCCCGCCCCCATATACTACTGATGTGGCTTAAAAAGGGGAAAAAAAAAGACATTAACGTGTACATAGACTTACTCAGCTGCATTGCTGAAGCTTCCCATTTCCCTCCCTAAAACAGTTGACTTGACTAAAAGCTAAACCTCTTCATTTGGGGGGATGGGGGTGGGGCAGGGGGCTAGGAAGTGTTTGGACCACACCTAGTGGTGCTTGTGTTTGAGGAACCATATGCAAAGCTGGATCAAGGCAAGCAGCATAATATTTGTTACTATCTCTCTAAGCCTTATTTTAGTACCTTTAACTGTTGCTTTCTACTACACAGACAACCAAAGCAGGAGGGAGGAATCCAATAATAGCACTTAACCATTATTGTGTCAGAACATTCTTAATAGCTATAGGATCTAAGGCAAGGATTGTTTGTTTATGGGTTTTTTTTTTTTTGGTTTTTGGTCTTTGGTTTTTTTTTGGGGGGGGGATGATACTTTGATTGGTTTGAGGGATCACACCCAGCAGTGCTCAGGAGTCACTTCTGGTTGGTGCTTGGGGGACCATATACAGTGGCAGGGATCAAAGCATGATTGGATACATATAAGGCAAGTACCTTAACCCCTGTGCTGTGTCTCTGGCCATGGACCTTAGGCAAGGTTGATAACCATGGAACCTTTGCTTCCTGCATTTCTAAATGTTAAATGGAGTAATAGACTCTACTGCAGAGAATTAAGGTAACAATGAAACGAAAGTCCATAGAAAGCCTCACCATTGGCGCCTGAGCAGCACTTAGGGCACTTGCCTTATGAATGTCCAACCTGACTTTGATCCCCGGCATTCCATATGGTCCCCTGAGCACTGCCAGGAGTAATCGTTGGGTGAAAAGCCAGGAAGTAACCCCCAAGCATAACTAGGTCTGGCCCCAAATTTTTTTTCTAATTTTTAAAAAAACCTCACCATAGTGCTAACACCTAGTAAGCTCAGATGATGGTTTGAGTAGACTTATGTCCCTGTGACTTAACAGTCACCTTGGTATTGAGTTGAGAAGCATGCAGCCCTGGTTGAGGGGTCCCCCCGCTAACCGGATGTAGAGCACACATTGTCATATGCAGAACACAGCCCGGGGCCGCTGCCCTGACCTCAACATGCTGATTGCTCTCCCCAGGTGAAGAACATCATTTATCACGCTGTGAAAGATGCTGTTGGCACCCTCAAAGCTCACGAATCCAAACTGGCACGGTCCTAGGTATGGAGAAGGTCCAGACTGTCCTGTGGAGCAGGTCTTTCATGCGACACATCCAGGGAACGCGGCTTCTCTGCTGGAGCAGAGGCCCTCACCAGAGCCAGTGTGGTCAGTATTACAAACTCTCCAGCCGCTCCTCCTACGCTGCCTCAACACTGACGGTTGACACAGGAAAGTCGCACTGTTCAAACACACACAGTTTCAGACTGCAAGTCGAGGGTGTCACATTCCCATCCTGTGGCCTTTGGGGACTCCGAATTGCCTGGTCGCTGCTGGGCTCTTCTGCACATTCTCTCGTGATTGGAGATTCGTGGAAACCAGGAACATGGGCACAACTTTCTTTTCTTTTCTTTTCTTTTTTTTTTTTTTTTCTCTCGTGCCTAGTAAATTGGGAAAATGTTTGAAGGTGGGGATCACATAACTGGTACAAGTCAGGGTTCATGGCTGAAACAGAACTGGTGGGAGCCTGGCCGTGTCTGCGTGTGACTCTGGCACAGCCCGTCCCGGAGACAGGGTGAAACCATTCCCCACAGGGTCTCCCCTCAACACTGGAGTCTTGCAGGACCCAGGGAGAACCCACTGCTTTTCCCAGAAGGCTCCAGGATTAGGAAACGTGTGTATTTAGCGAAGAAAAAAAAATAGATTTGTAGTGAAATAGTTACTATTTCATGAAAGTAGATATTTTTAGAATTTTTGAAATACCACAGTTGTTTTCCTGGATTATGCGGAGAGGCACATTACATTTAGTCTTCCTTTCAATAAAATTCTTTGAAGAAATATGATTTTTAGAAGTCAACTGCCCATCATAGCACAAAATTAGCCAAAGCAGAATTTAAAACAATTGGCTTTTTTGGAATATTTTCAGTTTCTCCCCCTCCCATCTCAGTCCTATCTGAGGGAACAGCCATCTGAGAAAGAATTCTGTCTTGATTGGGCTGTGTTGTGTTCACACAGAGACACAGACACACACTGCTAACTCCAGGAACTGTTTCACCTCGTACCAGCGTTCCCATGGGACTCCTCTCAACAGTTCCAAATGCGAGGGAAAGTTTGATTTCCTACATGAGGCTTTTGTTTTTTGGGGTTTTGTCCAGAAATATTTTCAGCAAAACTTTCCAACTCAGTGGAGTTTTATTAAGAATTTATTTGAAAATGATGGAATTTCTTGGCCCATAGGTGCATTGGGAAATGTATCTTCTTCCCAGCTGTCCTGTAGTGCCCTGCAGGCTTGTTTATACGTTCACAGTTACTTTTTTTTTTTTTAAATAAAAGTCATTTACTGTAGAATACTTTTAATTTCACTTTCTGTATTTTAATTTTGTTGAAGGGCTGATTGGGATTTCCATGTTCTTATTAAAAATCTAACAAATTTGTTTGGTGTGTACTAAATGCTTCCTGTGCTGGCCTTGAAAGAGTGAGCCCCGGTGGGGGAGGGGGTGGAGGGAGAGGATGGAGCCGTTTCACATCTTCATCGCTATGCTGCTTCTGACGGTCACTCTCTGCTTCCTGGAGTCGCGCCTGGTAGAAGAGGAACGCTGCCATGAAATCCTGCAGTTTAAGGCGAGGGAGGGACCGTGTGAGTGGCAGAAGAGCGGGGTTTCCCTGTGGGTCTGCTGTCTGAGAGGAACAGCTCTGGGATGTGACAGTGGGGTCCCTCAAAGTGGGAGCCTGGAGGCCCACATGTGAAGCAAGTGGCCCCAGATCCACCTCATCCAGAAGACCCAAATGCAATTTATATTTCTTTATCAGGCAGCAAAGTGAATAATGAGGACAGATTGCATTTCAGTTAGTAAAAGACCTTCTGGAGAGGAAGAAGTAAAGAATAGCAAGAGGGTCATCAGAGGCTGCTTCTCTGGAGCTTGTTGCAAAACAGCTTTCAAAAGATTTGAGCCTGGAAATCCAATTATCAAGATGGAAATAGACTATTGTGCAGTTCAAGGATACTAGGTTTGAATAGGCCACACACATATACACACACAGAGCCCGGGGCGCGTCCTTTCAGCCTGTGTGGGCACAGCTTGTAGCTGTGATCGCTGGAAGGATGTCACCTGGGCATAGAGGGCAGAAGGCAGTGGCCACTTTGAAATGGGACAGAAAAAGAAAGCCATGGGGGCAAGGACAAGTGCAGAGGTAGGCGCTGTGTGGCTTTGGTGGAAATTGGGAGGCGGGCTAGCCTACATTCTGGATATAAATGTCTTCAGAATTGGGGCATCCGCCGCCTGCCAGTGCTTGCTGCCGGGTGCAGTGGGACCCCCTCAGTCCATCACCAGCCATCGCCCAACTTCAAAAGAGGGTCTGACCCCCCTGGCCCAGTAAAAGGATAGGACTGACAAACTGGACGGGGATGGGGATGTGGTGCAGCTGAGTTCTGACTTCAGGAGTTCTTGGGTCCTTGCCAGGCCAGTCCCTGATGAGAGGGGGTGGGTAGGGTTGTCAGCTGTTGGGGAGAGTTGCCTATTTAATGCAGGCAGCCTGGGTTCAGACGTAGCTGCAGGACTGTTTTGAAACCCTGCTAATTATCAGGCTTCCCTGAGTGTGCTTATTGTCCGAGGTAATGATACCCTCAGCTTTATTGCCCTAAATAATGGCTAGCACCCGCTAAGCCCTCCAGAGGGCCCAGCCAGAGCTGCTAACAGGACGGCGGTTCAGGTGGATCCCTCTGGCCCTTGAAGCCCCCTACCCCAGGCCTGGGAAGCCCAAGCTCCGCGCCCCCCACCACCACCACCTTCCCGCGGTGGTCTGCAGGCGGGCCCTGAGGGTCAGGCGGCGCGCCTGAGCCAAGCAGGTGCAGGGGGCGCGCCCCTGCGCCGCCGCCTCCCCTTTAAGAGCCGCCGCCGCCCACGGCCGGCCGCTGCGGCAGGGACCTCCCCTTTAACGGCGCGGCTCGCGCTCCGCGGCCCCCGCGGCGGCTGCTGCTGCGGCTGCTACTGCGGCGCCCGCTGCTGCCGCCGCCGCCGCCGCCCGGCCTCGGCAGCTGCATCCCCGCCCGGCCCCGCCATGGTGTCCTGGATCATCTCCCGCCTGGTGGTGTGAGTGACGGGGCGCCGGGAGCGGCCCGGGGCTGGGGTGCGGGGCGAGGGGCGGCGGGTGGGGGCCGGCAACGGCCGTCGAGGACCGCACGGGGGGGGGCGGGGGGCGCCTCTTGGAGGTCCCCAGAGACCCGCAGGGCTAGAGGCCAGCACACAAGAGCCACGGCGGGCGGAGCGCGACCGGCCCCGGTTCCCACCCCCATTTATTTCTAATCCGGGTGCCCTCGCCCCATCCTCCCGGCTGAGTCGCTGGGCGTGATTCATGGGGTGGGGGGAGGCGGCATGTCCCCTCCCCCACCCGCCCCGCAGATCGGGGCTGGCCGAGCTCCCAGGGGACCGGGCTCATAGCAAAGAGTGGGAGCATAGTGGAGCGTCGTCATTCTGTGGCTTCGGGCCTCCCGCGGGGCCTGCGTCCCCTCCCGCCCCCCTGCACCGCCTGGACCCCAACGAAGGGAGGACACCGGGTGGCCTTCTTTCCCTCCTGGCAGCCACTCCCTAAGGCCCGCGCCCGCCCTGGGAGACTCAACCCCCATTCCCGCTCTCCTGCCCTGTGCTGGCAAGCTGGCCGACCCCGACCCCGGGATCCCCATCCTACAGACGGGGTGCAGGGCCTGCGTTCTCAGTGTGGCCTGGAGGGTGACTGCTTCTCAGGGATCCCCACTTGCTGCTCCTGCCACCCCATACCCCAGCCCACTCCTGAATGTGTAGGGGAAGGAATGCACCCCCTTTACCCTTCCAGGGCTGCCTGTCCCTGTACTCTGCTGTCAGGGCCACCCCAGGGCCTCTAAGTGCCAGGCAGGTGCCCCGTTAGAAGTGACAGCTGTGAGGCACAGAGGTAGAGGGCCATGTGTGCGTAGAAGAGGCCGGGGGTCTGGAGAACCCCCATCACACCCCATCAGACTAGATGCCCCCAACCCCGCCCCCAGGATTCCTTTGTGTAGAGCTAAGGCTCCGGGGTCTTCCCATACCTGGAAAGGGGCTGAGACAGGCAGTGCCCCTGGCCTGTGGGACCTCAGGGCTGTGCATCTCAGAGTCCATCCCTCCCCCACACCCCGGGACTGATGCCAGCTGGGAGGGAGCAGCGTGTGCCCTGGCGGCCTCGGGACCCAGCAACCACGGTGCCTCCCCAGGCTCGTCTTTGGCACCCTCTACCCAGCCTATTCTTCCTACAAGGCCGTGAAGACCAAAAACGTGAAGGAATATGTGAGTTTCCCACCCACCCCCACATGGTAGAGTTGGGGGCAGAGGGGGAAAAAAGTGGAGGATGGGGGAGCCTAGGCACTGCTGCTATCAGCACGGAGACCCTGGTTCAAAGGAGTCCTGTGGGGGCTGTCCACCCCCACACCCTCTAGGACCCTCAAGGCCATTCTGCCCGGTCCTGTTCTGCAGCACCTGGGCGGGCAGAGGGTTCGGGGGGTTCCCAGGCCCCCCAGCGCTGCTCTTCCTGCCCCAGGTGAAATGGATGATGTACTGGATTGTCTTCGCCTTCTTCACCACGGCCGAGACCCTCACAGACATCGTGCTCTCCTGGTGAGTGAGGCCACTGTCCCTCGGGCCCGGGGCTCTCCTCCTTCAACTCAGCCAGCCCCAGAAGGCCAGACCCAGGGCACAGCCCCGCAGAGTCCCATGGGGCTCTGGATGGCCCCTTACACCAGGCCAGCAATAATCAGACAGGGCCACAGAGATAGTACAGCGGGTAGGGCACCTGCCTTGCATGCGGCTGACCCCAGTTTGATCCCTGGCATCCTGTATGGTCCCCTGAGCACCATCAAGAGTGATTCCTGAGTGCAGAGCCAGGAGTAAGGACTGAGCACTGCCAGGTATGCCCCCCCACAAAATATATATATATATATACATGCATATATATATATATATATATGTACATACATACATACATACATACAGAAAGACCACAACAAGCTGTGCACGTTTTACATGTCGGAAAACCAGGTTCAGTCTCCGGTACCACAGAGGGTCTCCAGAGCACCGCTGAGAGTGACCCCCAGCACCCATCTGAGAATAGCCCCTGATCACTGCTGGATGTGGCCCAGACACCCCACCACCACACACATACACTCACACACACACATACACTTCCCCTGATCACTGCTGGGTGTGGTCCAAACACCCCACTACCACCACCATCACACACACACACACACACACACACACACACACAGCCCCTGATCACTGCTGGGTGTGGTCCAAACACCCCACTACCACCACCATCACACACACACACACACACAGCCCCTGATCACTACTGGGTGTGGCCCAAACACCCCACCACCACACATACACACTCACACACACACATACACTGCCCCTGATCACTGCTGGATGAGGTCCAAACACACCATCACACACACACACACACACACACACACACACACACACTTCCCCTGATCACTGCTGGGTTTGGCCCAAATACACCATCACACACACACACACACAGCCCCTGATCACTGCTGGGTGTGGCCCAAACACCCCACTGCCACCATCACACATACACACACACACACACACACATCTAGGGAGATAGCTCAGAGAACAAGGATGCATGCCAGATGCCTGGGCTTAAATCCTGGTACCACAGGATTAAAACCAACAAATAACAAGGGCTGGAGAGATAATGCAGGAGAGGAGACACTTGCCTTGCAAGCAGCTATGGTGGCCAAATCCCCTGAGCACTACCAGAGAACACTCCTGAGCACTGAGTCAGGATTAAACCCTGAGCACCACAGGGTGGCCCAAAACAAAAAAATAAAAGAACAGCAAAGCCCTTATGCTTTTATAGGTGGGGGCTAGGGGTGCAGTTTAGAGCTCAGGGACTATTCCTGGCTCTGTGCTTAGAGTCAGGGGACCATAAGGAGGTGCCATGGATCAGACTGGGCTTGGCCACATGCATGTAAAGCACCTTGACTTGACTATCTCTCCAGTCCACAGACCCCATATTTATTTCTGGTGGCATCTAAAAGTACCACCGAGGGGCTGGAGTGATAGCACAGCGGGTAGGTCGTTTGCCTTGCACCCAGCCGACCCCGGTTCGATTCTCAGCATCCCATATGGTCTCCTGAGCGAGCACTGCCAGGAGTAACCCCGGAGCATCACTGGGTATGACCCAAAAGGTAAAGGTAAAGGCCCTCCCGTTGATCGTCGATTTGCTCGAGCGGGCCCAGTAACGTCTCCATTGGAGACTTTGTTGTTACTGTGTTTGGCATATCGAATACATCACGGGGAGCTTGCCAGGCTCTGCCGTGCGGGCGAGATACTCTCGGTAGCTTGCCGGGCTCTCCGAGAGGGGCGGAGGAATCGAACTCGGGTCGGCCATGTTGGCTGCGTGCAAGGCAAATGCCCTACCGCTGTGCAATGACCCAAAAAGAGAAAAAAATTAAATAAATAAAAGTATCACCACAGAATTCAGGAATCCAGGGCTCAAAGTGATTAATGATCGTACAGCAGGTAGGGCACTTGCCCTGCCAGCGTGTCCTCCTCCCCAAAAAAGGCTTGCTCTTCAAACCCCTTAAGTACCCTCAGTGTGAGCCCTGAGCACAGAGCCAGGAGTAAGCCCTGAGTACCAGCACCACTGAATGTGGTCCAAAAAACAAAACAAAAGGTGCTGGCTGGATTGATAGTTCAGCAGGTAAAGCACTTGCCTTGCATGCAGCATCCCATATGGTCCCTCAAGCAGTGACAGGAGTAATTTCTGAGTGCAGAGCAAGTAGTAAACCCTGGGCATGGTGTGGCCCTAAAACAAAACAACAGCAAAAAAAGTGAATGTTTATTGAATGAGCAGATGCCTCTTGGGCGGGGCCTAGCTTAGCCCAGGGCAGCAGAGGTGAGAGAACAAGTCCATGAAGAGACCAAGGAGAAAGAGGGTCCAGGATGGATGGGGAGAGGCTGTGGCTTTGGAGCAGAAGGAAAGAGAGACTAGGAGAGAGGACATTGGGGCCAGAGCGACAGTACAGAGGGTGGTGCACTTGCCTTACACACACCTGACCTGAGTTTGATCCCCAGCATTCCATATGGTCCCCTGTGCACTGCCAGGAGTAATTCCTGAGTGCAGACCCAAGAGTAATCCCTGAGCACCCTGGGTATAACCTCAAAATTAAAAAATAAACAAATAAATAAAGAGGGTGGATGCAGGGACATAGTTCAGTGGGCTGCAGCATATGCCTGGTGAGCGGGAGGCCCCGAGTTTGATCCCTAGCACCACATGGCTCCCCAAGCACTTCCAGGGTGGCCCCGGTGGCCCCTGAGCACTGAACCATCCACCCTGGTTGACCTAGCATTACCAGGAGTGGCCCCTGGGTTCTCTGATCCTTACTTGGGAGCAACCACCCCACCACCCCAAAAAATACTGAAAGCAGCAAGGGAAGGTGTCTCAACACAAAAGGAACAGGGCAAGTTGGTGGGGCTTTGTGAGCAGTGGTGGCCTGTGGCGATGCAGGGGCAGGAGCAGCACAGCGGGCAGGGCCGTCTCCTTAGGTGAGAGCGCAGGCACCAGGTGGACAGGGACACAGGAGTGCTCAGCAGAGAAGTGCTCCCCCTGCGTGTGTGAGGCCCTGGGTCACCTCCCTGGAGCTCCCCACACACATACATACATACACATACTCATACGTACACACACACACACATGCACACACTCACACGCTCATACACTCATACACACACACATACATACACTCTCATACTCCTACACACACTCATACTCATACACATACACTCATACACATATTCATACACATATACACGCTCATACAATACACTAATATACGCACTCACATTCACACACTCAGATACATTCACACACATACACACATTCACACACACAGACTCATTGACACATACACAGTCACACACACACTCAAAGACACAGGCGTGATCTGGAAAGTTGGGTCACACCTTGGTGCTGACCCACGGACAAAGCTGGGGGGTCTCCCTTGACCTTAGGACTTGCCACAGGAGCCCCCCTGACCACTGCCCGGCTCTGCACCCCCCAGGTTCCCCTTCTACTTCGAACTGAAGATCGCCTTTGTGATCTGGCTGCTGTCGCCCTACACCAAGGGCTCCAGCGTGCTCTACCGCAAGTTCGTGCATCCGACTCTGTCCAACAAGGAGAAGGTTTGACCCCTCCGTGCTGGGCCCTTCCCGCTGTCCCTGTGGGAATCAAGAATCTGAAGTGGACTAGGAGGGGGGCATGGCTTTGTCCAGCATGAACGAGCGAGGGGGGCCGGGACCCCCACCCATTCTGTCTTCTTGCCCTGTCACCCCGCAGGAGATTGACGAGTACATCACCCAGGCCCGAGACCGGAGCTACGAGACCATGATGAGAGTGGGCAAGAGGGGCCTGAACCTGGCGGCCAATGCCGCGGTCACTGCTGCAGCCAAGGTAAAGGGGGACGGGGCGGGGGTGCTCGCAGTAGGGGGGCCCAGCAGCCATCTGGACACCACCTGCCTCCCTGGTCACTGCCAGCTGTGACTCCCCCCAACAAACGAAGGACTGGAGCTGGCTCCCAGGGCTGGCCCTGGCTCACTGGGTCCCTCTGAGCCCCCATCCCCGCCACCGGCTCCCTCCACCCCACAGGGCCAGGGGGTGCTTTCAGAGAAGCTGCGGAGCTTCAGCATGCAAGACCTGACCCTGCTCCGGGATGAGGATGCACTGACCCTGCAGGGGCCTGACGGCCGCCTCCGCCCCAGCAGCCTCCTGGACCCCATCGAGGACCGGGGTACTGATGGCGCCCCGGGGGGGCGGGGGCGCGGGAACAGGGTAGGCCCACAGGGGTGACACCTAAACCCCACCTCACACACACACACACATGCCCACCAGGAGACAACCCTGCGCTGAGCATCAGGACCAGCACAAGCCTAGCCGATCCCCGTGTGGAGGCCTCCGAGGAGGACCCAGGAGACAAGGTCCCGAAGAAGGTCAAATCCACGAAAAAAGTGCCCAAAGCCGAGGTGCGGCAGCCGACCGGGCGGGAGCATGGGCTGGGGTCTGGGCTGAGATTTGGGCCAGGCTGCTGATCGCCCCCTTCTTCCTGCAGCCACTGGCCTCCAAGACACTGAAAGCTCGGCCCAAAAAGAAGACCTCTGGCGGGGGGGACTCAGCTTGAGGCCCCTCCAGGCTACAGGGCGAGGAGAATTCTCCAGAAGGGTCTCAGCCCCTGCCCAGACTGTGCCCAGAGCCCTCCTTTCTCCCCAGGACCCTCACGGGGCTGCCTCAAGCCCACCTGTGACCTCTGGAAGGGCTTGGGAAAGGGGGCGCCCTACTGTGGGGGGGCCCCAGGGCCGAGGCTGGAGGAGGTGGAGGGCGGGGGGGTCCGGATCGTGGGCTGCTGTGTCCCCGCTCCAGCCCTGTCCCCACCTACCCAGTGCCTTGCTGAAGACCATGGCCATCCCCCCACTGTGCTCCCCTGTGGGGGTGAGCAGGGGCCAGTCACAGGCCCCATGGAGCCCCCCTCAGGCTCCTGGGTGCAAGCAGAAGGCCTCGGGGAGCCCGGGGCTCTGCGGGTGCTTACACACATGACAGGGCGGGCTGTGTGTTCCGTGGCCCCAAAAGGACATGGCTTCCAGAGGTGCACGTGTGAGCATGTGTGTGCGTGTCTCAGTCTGGGGGTCAGGGGCTCTGGAGATTTTCCTCCAGCAGGGACCCCCCACTCCTCAGCCCCGGCAGTTGGCCGGCACCCCTGCCCAGCCCCCCTGCCTAGCCCTCCTTCCTCATAGCCCCCCTCACCTCCCTGGCCCACAGTCCCCATTCCCATCCCCTGGGGCTGGACTCCCCCTTGCCTCCAGGAGCCCGCTCCTCCCCTCTTGGGCCTGCCCTCCACACCCCTGCCCCAACTCCTGCCAAGAAGGGGTGAAGAAGGGAAGTGAGGAGCTGAGGGCTCCACGGGCACCCACAGACAGGCCCTGTGCTACCGGAAGAGTCAATAAACCACTCTGGCCCCTCACTGACCAGTGTCCGCTCCTGTGCCCTCACCACTTGGGAAGGGTCCCTGGGAGGAGGGGGAAGAAGGGCCCCAATTGGGGGAGGGGGAAAGGAGGGGGAGGAGAGCTCAGGGAGGGGGCACAGGAGCAGGCAGCTAGCAGAGGGCTGAGGGCATGGGGCCCCGGGCTCCCTCCCCAGGTGTCACAGAGGCTTTGTCCTTCAACGCTTGCACTATGCTGGCCGCTTGCACTATGCTGGCCGAGAACCCTCTGAACTTGGGGATGGGGGGAGGGAGGCATCTTCCTCCAGCAGCCCTGGGAAAGCCACTGCTGGTCTCTGAGAAAGAAGAGAACAAGTCAGAGAACTCCCTGGTTCTAGAAAAATCTCCAGAGTAGAGTACAGCAGTGTTGTGAGCAGCCAGTGTAGGCCTTTGCTCACTGAACCCCATGCGTGCACGCGTGCATGCTTGGGCTGCTTGTGGAGTTGGACCCTTCAAATCAGGCCCCCACAAGGGGCTGGAGAGAGCACTGCAGGTGCTTTGCCTTGTAAACAAAGGGCTCACTCCCCAGCACCCCTGAGCAAAGAGGCACAGCAGGTATTGATGCAGGCAGGTAGATTAGGGAAGGGCCCCCCTCACGGGAATGGAAGTTCTGGGGAGTCGTAAGGCCACCCAGCTCTAAGCAACTAAAACCTGCCAAGACCTTTACCTAGAGCCAGCCCAGAGAAGGTGGGGCCCCCCCTCGGAGAGAAGCTCCAGTGCGAACAAAGGTCAAGAAAAGGAGCTACAAAGACAACCAGCCCAACTCTACCCTCCTTGGTAACCACCCTAGCAACAGACTCTATCTTCCCTAGAAGCACATGGGGCAGCTTGGGAAATACCCTGCAAAGGTCACCTTGATCAAAGGAAGCACGTGCACATGCCGCCGGAGCCCAGGTGCTGCTTGTGCCCACGTGGCCAAGCACATGCGGTGCCCACATCTCCTCTCTTGCGATGTGTGCTGGGCTCTCTGCCTTTGGAGAAGCCCGCATTCTCTCTCGAACACTGCTCTCACTTTCCCTCCTTCCCCTCCTAAAAACCTCCAAATAAAATCTGTTTTTACTTCACTGCTGAAAGTCGTTTTTGGTGGTCCTGGGTAAGGCCTGGGACGGGCTTTCCCTTCCCGCAGAGAGCAACTCCTCGCTCTAGCCCGAGTCTACGACTCCGGTGGCAGGGATCAGCTTTAGTGCTCAGAAGACCAAGCGGATGCAGGTGTGGCTTGATGCCACTTCGTCGGGCTGGTGGGACTCAGGTCTGGGCTGCGCAGGGACTCATCGCAGACTTTATCAGCCAGTCCCAGGATGGCAGAGGTGGATCAGAAGAAGGTGACGGTCTCTCTCCTCCCTGCCTCACATAAGCCACCTATGGGGGCCCTCTGACTTCATTATAGCCCAAAAAGGAAAAAGAAAAAGACACCCCCCAGATTTTCAATTTCTCCAAAAGCCATCTATATTTGTTTTGGGGACACACACAGCTTACTCCTGGGCTTACTCCTGGCTCTGAGATCAGGGATCACTACTGGTAGTGGTGGTTGCAGAGCAGGGAGGAATGGGGTGCCAGGGATTGAACCCCAGGCTGGCCACGTGCAAGGCAAATGCCCTGCCAACCATATTATTGTTCCGGCCACTTGCAATTTCTTAACTCTGGTTTTCATCCTCACGTGCACCCGCCCAGCCTATATGTGTAGATGAGGGCAAAGGCCTTCAGGTGGGTAAGGCCGTCTCACCTTTGAAGTGTCAACTCCCCGGGAAGAGCAGGCTGGCATGGTGGCCATAGTAGCTCTGAGGGCCACAGCCATGCCAAGGTGTGGGAATGAAGACTTCTGGTGGAGGGAGAGAATGTGCAGCACGCAGCACGCAGCACGTCTGCATGCATGCACACACGCACACACGCACGCACACACATATTCATCTGCACCCACAATGTCCATGGCTAAGGAGGTCAGACCCGCGCTGCCAGGCTCTCTGAGCACCTCTAGGTTTCTTCTGCCAACAGGAACATGCTCAGATTCCCAAGCTCTTTGGTGCGTTGCCATGGAAACACTTGGTCTCCTAGAACTCGGCACAGGGCCTGGCCCCTGTGGTGCAGGGGAGGAGAGGAGAGGAGAGATGGAGGGTGACAAAGAGCGGGGTTGGGCTGGCATCTCAGCAGTAGGGCGCTTACTTTGCATGTGTCAGGCCCTGCATTCTATCCCTGGTATGGCAGAATTAAAAAAGTCAGTGAGAGAGTCCAGAAGTAAGCCACTTGCCTTGCATGCAGCCCACCCTGGTTTGATACCTGGAACTGCACATGGTCCCCCCAAGCCCCACCAAGAGTGATCACTGAGCACAGAGCCAGGAGTAAGCTCAAATACAAAAACCAAAAACAAAAAGACAGGGAGGGATGGAGCGATTGTGGGTAGGGCATTTACCTTGCATGCGATCTGTCTGGGCTTGATCCCTGGCATTCCATATGGTCCCCCAAGCACTGCTAGGAGTAACCCCTGAGCATCTCCCTCATGGCCCAAAAACAAACACAAAAAAAGCCAAACCACCACAGGGACAAAGCTGCAGCCCTGCTGGCCTGGGGTCCCTGACTGCAGCCGCAACTGTTGGTTCCTTTCAGCAGGAGCTCCCACTCAGGAGCCTCCACAGGCTGCAGAGAAAAACCGGGGCTCATGCCAGCTCTCCCTGATCGCAGAATGGCCGGTGCCCAGCTCAGCCTGGACAGCTTCCTTCCAGGTCCCAGGATGCCTGCGAGGAGGAGGATCTCCACTAGGTGGCGCAGTTCCCTCCTAGTCTGGGATTCCCAGGGCTGCCGGACCATTTTCCTCCCTAAGGACTGCTCCATTGTAGAAGTATCCTTGAAGGTGCACAGAAGGGTTGTGGGGCTGAAACGTTCATTCCTGAGTCCACACCACCCCTGATCACTACTCACAGCCAATGATCGAGCCCCAGAGGGCAGAGACCTGCCTCGGGTGACAATGCAGTGTTCTCCTAGGTGGCAAGGGGATGGAGATGCTGTGTGTATCCCATGGCCCAGCCTGGGCCTCTGAAGTGGCTCTTGTCCAGTGAGGATGAAGGAACTGATTTCAGATGGAGCGAGGGGCCCAAAAGGTGGAAAAGGGGGTCAGAATGATAGTTCAAGGGTTAAGGTGCTGCCCTGCAAAGGGCCAACCAGGGTTCAGTGCTGGGCACCTGAGCCCATACAGGAGTAAGACCTGAGCACAGAGCCAGGAGTAATCAATGAGAACAGCCACGTGTGCAGGGCCCAGGGAAGGAAGCTCCCCCACTGCACCTGCCTAGAAGGCCATGATGACAACCCCAGGCCAGTTTCACGGCCCCTGTCCCTGCCTCTCCCCTTACACATATCTGGGGTACAGAGGGGTTGAAAGGTGGGACAACAGGCCAAAGCAATAGTACAGCAGGTAGGGCTGTACCTATCTTGCACACAGTTGATCCAGGTTCAATTCTTAGTATCCCATATGGTCCCCCGAGCCCGCCAGGAGTAATTTCTGAGTGCAGAGCCAGGAGTATGCTCATACCCCTGAGCATCGTCGGGTATGACACAAAAAAGCAAAAAGTGGGACAACGGTGGGCTAGAGCAATAGTACTTGCCTTGCACACAGCTGACCTGGGTTCAATCCCCAGCATCCCATAATGGTCCTCTAATCCCCTCCAGAAGTGGTCCCTGAGCACAGAAGGAAGGGAACAAAGACTATAATCCCCACTCTCTGGAATCCCAGAGCACTGTATGGTCTGGGGCCACACCCAGCGGCGCAGGGCAGGAGGGCAGTTAGTGCTGTGGGACCCTGAGGTGCTGGGAGTCAAACCTGGGTCTCCAGCATCCAAGCATGCACTTCAGCCCCTTGAGCCATCTCCCAAGTCCAATCCCAGGGGTTCTGAGGGTTTGGGGTTTGGGAGCCACACCCAGTGATCATCTGGGGCTGCTCCACGCTTTGTGGGGGGCGGAGGGTCGTCTGTGGTGCCTGGGGGATCGCAGGGAGCAAACGATCAGGGACTCAGGCTCCTCTATCCGAAGGCTGCTCCTCAGCTTCTGAGCCATCTGCCCGGGCCCAAGACATTTTTGCAGGTGCCACGGCTGGGTATCTTTCTTTAGTGAGTGGGCCACGCCCGTTGATGCTCAAGGCTTCCTGCTGGCTCTCTGCTCAGGGATTTCTCCTGGTGGTGCTTAGGGGATCACCTGGGCTTCTGGGGACTGAACTAGAATCAGCTGTGTGCAAGGCAAGTGCCTTCCCCTGAAGGACCTCTCCGGCCCCAACTCCTCACTGCCTTTCCCTGGCCTCTTTCCCAAGTGACCCCCCGGTTCACATCCCTAATGAGTTACCCCTCTCCTTTTGTCCCAGC